GAGTATCATTTTATGTCCCATCCAGTCCAATCTTTGTCTGAAGAGCTGGCCTGCCCTGAGATAATCATTAAACCTTTAACCAAAAATATCCCCTGAAGTCTTCTTAAAATCAAACAACAGTTTAGCTTAACTAGTAAAGAATGTCTGCCTTGAGCACTGTGCTCTTTCAAGATCTATCCGTATGAGATCAATCTGACAACAGCAACTTGAAAGACTAGATAGGACACTTAGGGGACAGAGAAACAACTCAGAAAAGGAGGGTGAGAATGGCTGCACAACTCACAGAATATAATCGATGTCACTGAATTGTACATGTAGAAACTATTGATTTGGTGTGTTTTGCTGTGTATATTCTCAACAGCAAAATAAATAATATAAAAAAAATACACCTGAACTTAATTTTGAGGTTTATAAAGATCAAAACAGGATTAACACTTAACGGTCATCTCTAATGCAAATATTAAATCGTTCTTCAAAGGACCAGACAGCAATTTTAAGATAATAGGATCTTATGCACATCAAAATAAAGTATATCTTACATCACATTCAGTGAATATTTAAATTCAGATCCTTAGCAGGTAGCTTTGATATTTATACTTTTATTGCAATGTAAGAGAAACATATTAAGATTCAGCTTTTACTTCTAGATTAAAGCAATCGACTGCTACCAAAAAGGTCAGTGGTTTGAAACCACTAGCTGCTCTGAGGGAGAAAGATGTAGTCGTCTGCTTCTGTAGAAATTTACAGCACTGGAAACCCTATGGGGGTCACTATGAGTTGGAATCAACTCAATGGCAGTGGGTTTTTACTTCCAGAACACTAGAGTTGTTTGTTTAAAAAGTCTTATTCATGGATGAAACTGGAGGACATTATGCTGAGGGAAATAAGTCAATCACAAAAGGACAAACACTATATGAGATCTCTACTGTAAAAACTCATGAAAATGTTTACATAAAAAAAGAAACAATCTTTGTTGGTTACAAGGGATGGGAGGGGTGGGAGGCGGAAATACTAAATAGACAATACAGAAGTGATAATTTTGGTGAAGAGTAAGACAGTACACAATACTGGGGAAGCCAGCACAACTTGTACAAGGAAAGGTCACGGAAGCTCCACAGACACATCCAAACTCCCTGAGGGACTGAATTGCTGGGTGGAGGGCTGTGGGGACCATCGTCTTGGGGAACATCTAGCTCAACTGGCATAACACAGTTTATAAAGAAAATGTTCTACATTCTACATCAGTGAGTAGCGTCTGGGGTGTTAAAAGCCTGAGTAGCCATCTAAGATACTCTACTGGTCTCACCCCTTTGCGAGCAAGGGAGAATGAAGAAAACAAGACATAAGGAAAAGATTAGTCCAAAGGACTAATGGA